CCTTCCTACAAAGGATCCTCGAGCAGAGAATTTGAAATGGGGGAAGGGATTTTTCCTCTCTGCGATTATATGTTTTTAATTTAAAAAGATACAACAAATGTACTTAGTGTGATTGGTTCTGATTGTTGCTTTTCTTTAAAATGGTCATGGTTCAAATCCTAATAAGTGTATTTTTAATGAATAAAAAAAATTGTGAAGACCAAAATGTCCTTCCTATTTTCACTCCGAATACATGAAATTTGAAATGGGGCTTCAAGTTTTTTCATTTGACTTTTATTTATTGTGTAGATTAAGGGCATAGCCTTCTTTTGTATCTCTCGGTACCTAGTTGATTGATATATGATGATGTATATTTTGAAATCTTGGAATTCAGAATAATGTTTGACAGTGGTGAAACTAGGTTGATGATAGAAGGGGCTGTAGCCCCTCTAATTTTTAAATATAGGTAAAATTAAATATAAAATTTACACAAATTTATAAATTAGAATAGTTTATAAGGCTTTAACCCTCCATCTCCCAATTAAAACAATTCAAACCAGTCCCTTTATTCGAGTTTCTAACTCCACCGCTGTTATTTGATAACATATATAGTTTACGTACCTTCAATTTACGTCTTGTTTTTAAAATAGAAAATTTAACTACCTGAAGTGCTTTGAAAGACAAGGTAACATATATCCTATTCAAAATGGAAATGAATCGCTTTAACCAAGAACGTTTAGAAGACGGAAAGTGAAGAGAGTGACGCAGAAATTAGGTGAAAGAAGAAACACCAATCGAGTGGTGCTTGGAGTGGAGTTTAATACAAGGTACGTACAGAAAGGAAGAGGGTGGCAAAGACCGAAGAGAAAGCAGCAGCAAGGAAGGATCGATGGGAATGGAGAAATTGACAAGGCAAGAAACACATGTTTTGACAAACTTATTATATTTATAAATTCATCACTTATTCATTAGTTTAGTTGAAATCAAATAATTTATCAAATTATCGACATAAGATACATAAATAAATTTTAGGTAGTATCTTAATCCTTAAAAAAGACACAAGCCGTACGTTTGTGTAAGTGATATTTGAGAAATAACTATCATACATAATCAATCATTACAAAAAACTTACATAATACATTTATTTAATTTATAAATAAGGAATAATAATATTTCCGTAATTTTTACGTAGTTCCTTGATCATTAGGTATGACTTGTGTATTACCTTTGATTTGTTTTATTGACAAGTATATAAGAAATATTTATTCCTCCATAACTTTTACATCATGTATTTCTAATTTAAGTAGCTATTATAGAATGTTATTACGTAATTTTTTTTAATAATATATGTGGTCTAATAATAAAATTATAAAGTATCACATTCGATCGAACTGCTATGTAAAAGTTAGGATACTGTCTATTTTTTATCCAAAACCTTTTTAAATTGTTTTATATCATCCAAACCTATCGAAATACTAAGAATTAGCCAAATGTTAACTTTAAGTTAGCAAATTTGTTAGTAACATTGACTTGACAACATGATACTGACTTGGAAAGACACATGAAGGTCAACATTTCAACATTTAGTATTTTAACTAAGAAAAGAGTTATAAAATTATTAACGATGCCGTAAAAATGACTAATATTTTGATGCATTACGAAAGATTTGACTAATTAATAGCATTTGAATAGGTTTTGAAAGAATCTGAAAAAAATTTGAATAAAAAATAGACATTACCTTAATAGTTAACTGGTCTTACGAAACCTTTGCACTATGAAAATTGATAAGGTGGTGAATATTTTAGTTAATGATGAAGAAATTTAATCAATAGTAAATGATTTGCGTTTTAAGAATATCACATTTGATTAAAATGTTATGTAAAAACGTAACTGGTTTTACAAAACCTTGGAGTAATGAAAATAACCAAGTTATGGTGAAATTAGGTAAAGGAGAGGGGATACAAATCTATTGTCACTATTATAGAAATGTGTTACACAAATCCTTCCTACAGGAGAGGGGATAGAAATCCATTGTCACTATTATAGAATTGTGTTACACAAATCCTATCATACAAGAGGGAGGATAAAAACCCATTCTCACTATTATAGAATATTGTTACACAAAACTTTCATATGGTGTGGTCTAATAAAATCTAGTTCATAAAATATCACATTTATTAAATTTTTATGTAGAAAGTAATTGATTTTACAAGATCTTAGAGTAATGCAAACAACAAAGAGTTTATGATAAAATTGGGTACAAAGGTTAAAAATCAAGTTAAAAAACCACATTTACTAAACGGTTACATAAAAAATTAATGATTTTACATAATCTATTGGATACGTGGAACAAAAATCAAGTTAAGAAAAATTTCACATTTATTAAATTATTATGTAAAAAGTAATTAATTTATAAAAACTTAGAATAATTCAAATAACAAAGAACTTATAATAAAATTGGGTAGACGGGATAAAAATCACTTGTGAACCGCACACTCGGCCAAAATTTTTTACTACCCTACTTTTTCGTAAGGAATAGTGCGGCAGGCTTTGATGGAATGGGTTTAGTTGCTATCATTTAAGGGGTTAGCATCATACTAACTACTCTAACAACTTTTAGATCAAAATATTAATCCTAAGGTTAGAATTAATCCAAGGATAATTAAGTCAATATGCATCAAACCCTAATATAAATACTACTATTTTACCCTAACGGCCTCTCTCACAAACTCACGTCTCCCTGTCTCCCCTCTCTATCAACTAATACACCCAACTCCATCTCCAGCCAAATTAACATCGCCGCCAGGATTCCGCCAAGAACCGTTAAAGTCGTCGTCGTCCAAAATGACTATTAATCTAAGTAGTAGTAAATTTATTAGTAATTTTTTCGGTATAAAATGCTAATAAATAGATGAGAGAGAAAATGGAATTTTAGTTTTAAATTAATTTATTATTTTAATTTTGTGAAATTCCAAACAAACCCTTTATTATTATCCACCGTTAGATTCAACTTTAAAGAATGGATGATGATTAGAGTAGTTAGCACAATGCTAGCTCCTATGAAGTTAGCACTCTTACCTCCCGACTTTGATCCGTTAGCGTTATTAATTATATAATAATAATATAAATAAATAAATATAATAATATACCAATAGCACACACAACAAGCTACACTGGCTTCGACTTTTACTAATGTAAATATTGCATTGTTTAACTTATAGCGTTGAGATACAACGAATTAAAAAATTTCGCAGATTTTTTATTTATTTATCTTCGATAGACATAGAGCATCATCGTGTGGAAGGATTGCATGTTTTTTTGTTTTCCTAGCAACGCATTAAACTACTGATTGTATTTTGATCTGGTTAGCATTAAAATTGTTATTTTACTTAATGAATAATGGTTAAGCGCTAATTAGAGTTTGGAAAAAAAACCTTCTCATATAGCAGAAAGGTTTGAAACGACAGAGTTTTGAGTTTTGGCTAGTTGCCTTGCCTTTGCTTTATGGATAAGAAAAAGAAGAAAAAAAAAAAAGATAAGGAGTCGGGGTGGGGGGGCAGATGGACATTGAAGGAGTGCAATAAAAGGGGAGCTGTCTGCTGGTTGGGTAGGTGTGTATTAAGGTTAGATAGATTCAGTTAAACTTCTTATTAATTTTTTTGTTGAAAGAGTAATATTAGCTTAAACACCCAAACTTTGTCAAATATTTATATTTGAGTCATGAACTTTTTGAAATGATATTCACTATATATTTAATATAATTGGGTCACTAATGTTTAACAGAGATTATATAGTCTCTGACGTGACTATGTGAAATGAAAATAGCTGACAATATTTCACTTTTTCTACTAGTCTTTGTAAATAATATAATCAATAAAATGAAAATCGCCACCTGAAGGCAGATTAAAAAGAAATCAGGAGGAAAAATGTTTTGTAATTTGGTATCACAAATGTAAACTATATATATAGACTTCCCATTTGTCTTTGGAGTAATTAAGGAAATGAAAGTGAGAACAAAGCTTGATCGGATGTTCTTGTACTCACAAAGAAGGTATTATGTCGATCGTATGAATTAAGCTGAAAGCGACTCTATTCGGTTTCCAATTAATTTTTTCCACTATCTCTATTACTTAGAGTGCAACCCATAGCTCAACGCATGACTAATTAGAGTTCTCCAAGACTAATCGTGCAACTCTTCAATAATCAACCTTACCTGTCTCTAAACACACCTCCAACGATAAACTCTAATAATTGTAAGTGATCAACGAGCAAAGTACTCATGACCTTTGAGTGATATTAACCTGATCATTAACTAATGCATTTTTTTTAATTATCACACTAATACATCTCTCCAACTTCCTTCATTTCTTCCTAATTTCCTTTGTGTGACATTATTTTTCCCCCTCTTAACAACCCGTCTCCAACTTGTCCTTTTTTTTTGTCTTCTTCTTTTCCTGTGCTTGAGCTGGGGTTATCCATGCAGTTAATACCCAAACCCGAAAACCCAATCAGCTAAGCAAATTAAAGCAAATCTCTGCGAAGAAGCAAATGTGGTAGCAGCAGGCAATGATGATGAACAAGATAGATAGATATAGATATACATATAAATGTTGAATGCAAGTTTGGTTGACAAAACCTTTATAACTCTTCTCCCCTCCACCCACCCACTTTCCCTTCCCCTCTCCATTAATACCAGCCCAGCCCAGCCCAGCCCCGTCCTTTCTTTCTTCTTTTCCCTCTCTTTCCCCGTTTCTAGCCATTATTTCCACCTCCCCGCTCACAGAACACACAAGGAGGGAGAAAGAAAGAGAAAGAGTCGTTTTCCAGCCTGCAGCTTGGGGCGGGGAATCTGTGTGGGTGTTTGGTGCTTGCTTTGCTTTGCTGAGAGAGAGAGAGGGGAAGCTGTTTCTTTTTTGCCAGTAATGGTGCGGTGGGCGTAGCAGCTGGTGGTGTTCGCAGAGTGGCCTGTTTTTGGTCGTGGTGTCTCACTGAGATGCGCTGAATACATACTAGTATTGTGAATGTGGGTAGCCGGAAGTAGAAATAGAATGGCCGTTCGGTTTTCGGTTAATAATAATAATGATGATCCCAGCTGCTGCAGCAGCAGAAAGAGAGGAGGATTCATATCAGGATTACAACAAGGAGGTGGAGAAAGATCAGGGCTTCCATTAACTTCCTGTCCTGCTACTACTTCTTCTCTTCACCACCTTCTGCTTCTTCTTCTTCCACTGTATCTTGCTTTGGCTACACCAACAGCGGCTGGGTTGACTAATTCCTCATCACCGGATTACAGCAGACAAGTCAGCAGTTTGAGGCTCCACAGAATCCACAGGCATTTGAACAGGATCAACAAGCCTCCTCTCCTCACCATTCAGGTTCCATACCCTCTTACCTATTAGCTCTTCAATTCATAGACTTGCTTAGTTAATTAAATTAATAATAATGTGTTTGCAATTCTTCTTATTTTTTTGGGGTGGGCAGAGCCCAGATGGGGATATCATTGACTGTGTTCATAAGAAGAAACAGCCTGCTTTGGACCATCCCCTTCTCAGGAACCACAGGATCCAGGTACCCATGCATGCTCTACTCTATATTCTTCATTAATTGTTATTGTTATTATTTCTTGTCTTGCGTAAAACACAATAAATAGTTACAAAATGAAGTTGGTAAAGAGGTTTAGAGGAAGGATTAACATTTAGCAACCTTCTATTATGATTTCATCACAAATGAGCCTTAGAAGCAAAGCAGAGTTCACCCCTTTTTCTCTATCACTCTTTCTCTCTCATTAAACCCACATGATCATTACTCCCCACTGATTAATATTTTGTGCTGTAATCGATTGGGACTCTGATGATTCATTAATTGCAACCACTCTACTAATAATAATAATAACAATAATTATATCTCGTAATCTGCGTAATGATTCATCAGTTTGTATGCACAATCAAAGCTACATTACTTAATTGATCATTTGATGTAATGCTAATATTTTTTAATTGTAAACAGCGAGCGCCATCGCAAATGCCCAAGGTGAAAAAGGTGGCACCGGAGAAGGAACAAAAAGCAGGGGACGGGAAGACTGAGGCGGCGGCGGAGGAGAATAAGTCGTCGTTGCCGGCAGTGGAAGTTGAATGGCAAATGTGGCACCGGAACGGGACGCGCTGCCCCAAGGGCACCGTACCCGTGCGGCGGAGCTCGGTCGACGATGTGCTGAGAGCCAAGTCTTTGTTTGACTTTGGGAAGAAGCAGCGGCGATCCCGCTTCCCCGTCCACCTCTCCCGCCGCCCCGACGCCCCCGACGTCGTCAGCGGCAACGGCCACGAGGTAGTTTTTTTTCCAATTAATATTCATTCCCAACGCTAGCTACGTGCCGTTGCGGGCCATTTACGTCGCAGTTTCTTTTTATTTTATTTTTAGTGTTGATAATTTAATAAATTCAGTACTGTCCCTATTACTATTGAAAAACAAGTCAATGTGCAAAGTTTGAATTAATTAAAAATAGGAGTTATCTTAATAAGACAATATATATATATGTGGGTGTGTGTGGAGACACTTGGTCTTAGGTAGCCGGCATTTAATAACGTAGAATCTCACTCATCTAACTTACTAAGACTTGATTAATTGATTGTTGGGTTGAGGAACCCAAGAATATTGTGAAATGAGTGACATTTAAATCACCAAAATTATGAAAATATTGTCATTTAAATAGATATTTTTTTTGGAAATAAATTGTATTTATTTTATCGATTAAACTGACATACTTCGTTTCTGGAAGAATTGAAAATTCCCTTTCTTCTTTGTTTCCTCTTAATTTGATTGATTTTGATTTTTGCGTTGTATCTCTGTTGTTCTTGTTGATATAAATGATGTTTGGTTAAAAGGTTTGACAATTATACTCATTTAATTTCTAAAAAAATATTAAATTATTTATTTGTTTTTGACAGAAGTTATACACAATTTGGTCATTTAATTTCTTTTTTCCAAACCTCGTCTAAGATTCTGAAATCCTCAATTTTAGTAAAAAATAACCCCAAATTTTTTTTTTGTAATATTAAATATTTACTTAAAATTAACAAGAGAAAAGTGGATAATTAAATATGGAGTTTGGGTTGGAAGTGGAGTAATGGATATGATGTGGGAACAAACTTAAACAGCATGCGATCGCGTACACGGGAGCATCAACGGAGGTGTATGGAGCGAAGGCGACGATCAACGTGTGGGACCCATCCATCCAAGTGGTGAACGAGTTCAGCCTCTCCCAGATCTGGGTTCTCTCCGGATCATTCGACGGTTCAGATCTCAACAGCATCGAAGCCGGGTGGCAGGTACTTCTTTCCATTTCCTGTCCCCGCACGCACCCTATCATTTCTCCAGAAAATTGTATTGTTATATATTTTTTTCTGAAGTATGGGAAGAATTGTACTAGTCAGGTCAGTCCGGAGCTCTATGGGGATAGCAGGCCACGACTTTTTACCTATTGGACTGTAAGCTCTCTCTCTCCCTCTGTCTCTCCTTAAGTTTTCTTCTAATCTTTAGTTAATGCTAAAATTGTACTAACTTCAATTATTATACATGAATATGCCAAACCCTAATTACGAAAGCATTAATTAGAGTAGAGTTTAGGGAATAAAATAAAGGCAGTAATGGTGGAGGACGTGCACACCGTACTGACAAACTCCCCCCCTTCCCCAACTGCACCTAATTATATATACTTAATTAATGCTTCAGATCGTTAGCTGGACCTTAAATGCCATATATATAGTTTTTGATGGTTCGAAAAGTCAACTTCAACTATAGTGGTCTACTTATCTCTCATAAAAAACAGGAATAAAAACTCAAGCAATTAAGCAAGGCATCAAGCTACTAAGTTGAGAAGGTGAGATCTTAGGTTTCATTTTAGAAGGAAGAATTTCGTTCGATAGACATATGTGGTATTTATGTGACGAATTTTAGATGGAAATTAAATCATATCAAGAAAGAAGTGCATTGTTCTGGTCATGAGAAGAAGGGTGGAATATGGATCAAAAGTTATAAAGGGATTTTTGGGACAAGCTTAGTAATGGAACAAGACAGCCACCCAACCAACCCAATGTAATCTTGTACTCGTTTCACTGTTTGCTTCTTATTCTTAGAGTGGGAAAAGAAAAAGGGAAGCTTTTGATGTTGTTGACAAATGAATAAACATGGTGACGCACTCCTAACTGTATTTTCCCACTTTGACAAGATTGGTGACCAACTTACATGTGGACATCACAAGTAAAAGCTCTCTATCTTCTCCTCCAAAACAACAAAATATGTATGGTATAAAAATGTGTACAACGATCTCTCATAGATCTAACAATCCAATATAAACATGAGAATTCAACATAATCATAATGTATTAAAAATTATAGTACCACTCATTAATATACCTAGCTAGGGAAAGTGAGTGGAACTTACAAAAATGATTTCCCCGCTTTTGGCTTCATTTATATATGTCAGATAGGAAATGGCTCATATATATTACAGTATGGGGGTTGAAGGAATATGGAATTTGTTCTTATAATGAGGGATATGTGTCAATCCTTTAGAAGGGTATGGGGGATCCGTCATTGTTTGTGTCACAATAATTCTACAACAAACGATGATAACTTTTCATTTCTAGAGACTTTTAGCCTTGTCTTTCAAGGGAAGGGAATGATGATATACTCGTGTATGTAATGTAAGTAAGCCTTCGTGATGGGGCAAAAGAGCCCCCCAAAAAGAGAGAACCTTCATCATAACGGGATCACGAACCAATTAAACAATCCAATTTAATAATGACCGGCAATCGTTAATAAACGTTTAATGTAGTGGTATTATCGCTAATTTTGAACCTGACGATTAAGCGATTTTCGATATATTGTTTTGTTGGTGGGATTGCAGAGCGACTCCTATCAAGCCACAGGATGCTACAATCTGCTATGCTCAGGATTCGTGCAAACCAACAGCAGGATCGCCATTGGAGCCGCCATCTCTCCCGTCTCTTCCTTTACCGGCAGCCAATACGACATCACCATCCTCATCTGGAAGGTACGCTCCAATTCCATCCACAAAATAAGGTCAAATTTTCAAGCCCTATATATTTATTTATTTCTTATGTTTTGTTTGATAAATGAAATTATTAACTAGGACCCAAAACTGGGGAACTGGTGGATGAGCTTCGGGGACACCACACTGGTGGGCTACTGGCCCGCGGAGTTGTTCACCCACTTGGCCCAACACGCCACCATGGTGGAGTGGGGCGGCGAGGTGGTCAACTCGCGGGCCAACGGCCAGCACACGTCCACCCAAATGGGCTCGGGCCGCTTCGCCACGGACGGGTTCGGGAAGGCTAGCTACTTCAGGAACCTGGAGATCGTGGACTCCGACAACAGCCTCAGCTCGGCCCAAGACATCTACACGTTGGCGGAGAACACCAACTGCTACGACATCAAGAGCAGCTACAGCAACGAGTGGGGCACCCACTTCTACTACGGCGGGCCCGGACGGAACCCGGCCTGCCAATGACGTCTTCGCCACCGCCACCGCCACCGCCACCGCCGGCGCCAAGTTATTAAATTCTTTAATTATGTGACGGAAATGGATTGCGCTAATTGATTTTTCTTCCTCATCATCGGTCTTTGTTTTACTCTCGTCATTTTGTTTGATCAGAAATTTTTTGGGTAATTGTTGTGGGAGGGAGAGGATATATATATATAGGTAAGTGCAGATGGTGTATTTTGATCAAATAACTGTTCAAAGCAGTGACTAGTTAGGGTTAAAAACGGCTCTCAAGAAAGAAAGCCATGGGTTTTGGGGGGTATTGGGACAGACTAGATGTTTAAGGAGACAAATTGTACTAAAAGCTTTTGTCTATCTCTTTCGTCAATTGTTAAAACGAGAAAATGTTCTTCTGATCGCAACTATATATATTATTCTCGGTAGTGCTAATGAGTTGATACGACCTTGAACATTGGACAATATTTTTATCATTAATAAATGATTTTGATGTTCTCAACTCAATCATATAAAATATATTACTCGCATACTTCTATTCCTAGATACTGGGGTATTCAAACTTTGTGTGTAAACTTCTTTCACTTGCTGCATTTCAAAGAAAAGCCACACACACGAATATTAAGTTGATACTCCAACAAATTCATCAATACTAAAACTAGACATCGGTAGTAAAACTTAAAAATTTGAATCCAATCCAGTTCAACCCACTTTAATCCCGGTAGGTAGCTCCGTAGTTGATATTGAGGAGCCAAGACTGTGTAACTGATTATTCCGTGATGTTTTAGAGGTGTCGGAACCTCGTATGATAAATAAAATGGATTAGGTCTCCTGTACGCCAATCTTTTCACAAAAGAAAAAAAATAAAATCCATCAACTATATATTATTCTCACATTGGTAATGTTCATCTCTCTCTTCCTATCCATTTGATCGAAATTCGATGAAATTGATAGATTTATGAATTGTTAAAAAAGTTGCAGTTTAGTACCCCTATATATTATATATACATTCGGATACATTAAATTTTTTTATGGAAATTATTCTTCAAAAATTATATTTTGATACCTAAAACTTTCTACAATGAAATTTTACTAATTAAAAATTTCATATTGATAAAATGCTTAGAAGTCACTTGAATCGATAAATCCAATCCATTAATCTACCAATTTGTTACCTCTTGTAGAGAAGCTAGAGAACCGCTGAATATAATTGTCATGGGACCTCACTTGTTTGCAAATTGAAAACTCAGAACAGAAGAGGTAAACAAAAAGCTGATGCCAATTGCCAAACCCTTTGAACAGGGTTAGCCTAATCCCAAATTGGTGGGCCAGTTTGGTTCTTCTGAGAAAAATCATTAAGGTGGTTGGTTAGTTTGGGCCAGGCTTGAAATAAGTTTGACTGACAACCATGGAGCTAGGTACCAGATCAGCAATCAATCAATCAATAAATAGGGTGCTCATAATGAGCCTCGCAGTAAGTCAGCTGGCAGCAAGCAAAATGACTTAACAAGCATTCTCTGCGCTGCATGCCATGGTTTCATTCAAACACAAACAAAAATGAGTTACCAATGGTGAAAAGGGTATTAATTGTTAATGGTAAGTTGTCAGAGAGAGGACCATGCAGTAGTACAGTGCTGAATTCTTGGTAGGATGGTATTGAATGGCTAGCTTCTGATTTTTATTCATTTCATTGTAGACCGAAGCTACACATATATAGGTCGGAAGGGATGCGAACGGGCTTACGGTATACATGAGTTGGTTAATCCATTTTTAGAGCTTATCCTTCCAAATGATAATAAGTCTCATTCGAGAGACAAATCCTAGTCCCTACTTCTCCCAATTTGTAATCCTCCTCTCTCTCTTTGTTTCTCCTTCTTTGGCCTAGGCCTCCTTGTAAACCAAAAAAAGATACGAAGGGAGAGAGAAGGGTGGACTAATTCACCCATTAACATGAGAAAGCATGATGATAACAAACTTATCTCAATGTAAACAACAATCAGGAGAAATGATCATAAGCAGAGGTAACTGTTTTGACGACCACGAAGAGTGTGGGATTGGACACCTGATCGGACTCTATTGCAAATTTGCAATTAAGGCATTATCTTTACTTTTCAGCTTTCATGCACGAGTTAATTCCTGTCAATTTGGTGGCAAATTAGGCAGTAAGAACCTTCAGATCTTGTAGTGTGTGATTGAGAAAGATTGTTGTATATGCCTTTGATGAGCTTCTTTATCTTCATTATTGGGGCCTGTGTAAGTTTCTTGTTTGGATTTTGAGTGGTGTAAATGAAAATGAAAAGAAAAGGAGTAAAGAAAAACTCTTGTAATACCACAATATCTATGAGACGTGGGAATGCGGTCTCGGTTTATGATTCCATCGACTTGATCTTTTGATGCTTGGTAGGATTTGTTTGTGTAACCAACCCGAATTGAATAGGCTATGTATGGAACCGAACCATGATGGTGGTTGGAGTAAACCATTCGTTTTGTTAACTACCATAATGATGAACCGATGCAATGGTGAGAGACTTGAACAAACTAATGCAACACCCAAAGAATTGCTTTGCTTCGCACATACCCCTTCATTTTCTATAAAAAAAACACCAACCCCTCTAGTTTTAGGTAGAGAGAAAAATAGAAGGGAATAAAATTCCTCCAGGACATGCAATGTAGTTTATCGGTTGGGACGATTGCATGTGCTTACATCATTTCATGATCTTATAGGTAACTTGTTTTAAAAGAAATTCCGTATGCGTGAGATTTTCAAAACACTCTGAAGGAATTTTATTTTACTTTATCTTATTGTTCACATGTCTGAAAGAAAATTGTATCATGATTTTGATTGTTCATCATTTTGTTGTTTGATCAATTTTCTAAATACTGAATTCGACTATCATAAGAGGGGAATTCGTGATTCCTTGTGTATTGGTAGAAATTGATAACTTTATGTTCCAACATAAATTGCTTCATGAATTTGGTAGGGATCAATTTGTTGATTCATTAACTGTGATTCGAAGAGACAAGTCTTAGGTGGTTGGGTACCCAAAGGAACTCACTAGATGAACGAAGGTGAATGATCCATTAAAGGATATGCACTTATGATTAATGGGGAGCAATATCTTGAAAAATATTCAAATTGAATTGTAATACCCACTAAAAGGTTGGTGAAGTTCAATAGCCTGACCTGCAAATACTAGGCGTCAAATGCACTTTGTGAAGGTACAAATTAAGTTGAAGGGCTAGAAGCACGGTAGCAAGGATTTTATCGAGGGTGGGTCGTCCATTTAAAAAAAAATACATACGATAAAATAGTTTTGTTTGTTTTTTAAATTATTGATAATATAATTTTGTATTTACAAAAACTTGAAAAATTAAATATATTTTGAAACTATCAAGAATATCACTCTATATGTATCAAATAAGTATTCATGATTTAGTTAGACATTTGATTTTGAATGGTGTTCTTTGTCAATACCGTTTCATATCAATAACTCGAGTTGTTGAGAAAAATTTAATAATGTATCTTATACTATTTAGTATTTACTAACACTTCCCCTCTTACCTTATACGTGCTTAAATTTTTCACAAATTTGGATATCATGTGCTTAATAATTGAATTCGCCAAGATTCAAACACATGATCTCTAGGTCAACCATTCTCTATTAGTAGTGCATTCAATTTAATTTTCAATTAACTATATATTATGCTAGTTTACTCATTTTCTTCATTAGGAGCCACCCCTCACGCTCTCCCTAACCCTGATTGGAATAAAATTATTTTGAAAAAATTGGCTATGATTTGGTGGAAATTTGTTGTGGATACCGAATAAGTACATCTTTAATTTAGGCGATTCATTTGCATCATTATCATTTGTACATAGCTCCTTATAAATAATTGAATATGTCAATACACAACTTATAAATCATACATCAAATATTTAAAATTTTAACCATATTTATTTAAATACAATTATTTTTCATACCCGATTAACTATTATACATAATTTACCATTTTCTCTCGTTTGACCCTCTCCAATCTTAACCGCTTGAAGTGCAACTGTATTGATATAATCTTGGAAGCAATGTAGTCAAAATCGCGTTTTAAAACCTAAAATCTTATGGTTTTACGCTTCTGGGTTACCAAAACGCTTCTATGCAAAATCTCTGTTTTTATAGCTAATGTAGTTAAAAACGTGCTTTAATCTTAAAAGCTTATGGTTTTACGATTCTAGATCATCAAAACGGGTTTACGTAAAAAATGTGCTTTTGACTACATTGCTTGGAAGTCGCCTTCTCTAACGCAAAGAGAGATGCCCAAACTTCATAGTAAACGAGAATGTATATACTTTCAGAGTCAACATCAGTATGACGCTTCTGAAAAATGGCTTTAGCCGTAATTAGCTTCCATATAAATGTTTTGAAGAGGGTGGGTTGTTGTGCTAGTCAGAGCAGGATGCTGTGCAGTGTTCAGGCGGTTGTGCTGCTATAACATAACACTATTGATCACTTAATTTCTAGAGAAGTTATTTGAGTTGATCATCTTAATCAAATGTAGGACCCACCTAGAGACTAATTAAAGTATTCAAGAGAATGGACATGTGGTGTAGGACAAATCATTATGATGGTAGCTTTACCTAAGTAGGATTGGTAGACCCAACCTCTAGGTTCAAGGACAATACAAAGTTGTGAAAAATAATACCTAAATCCGTAAACTCTATTTTGTAAGGCGGATGCCAATGTGAGGCTAATACAATAAAATTCCCATGATGGTCTAACAATGTCAAATTATTCAAGTCCATTCTCATGATGATACAATGTCTAATAGGAAGGGTAAACCTAAAGATGAAATGTTTTAATGGTTACTATGTTTGAAACATCATGTATTCAAATAGTGTATTTTCAGCATACACATTTAAAAATCACCTATGCGAGTGTGAAGTAGAGTCGTTTTAAGGAGAATAAAAGAAGGCATGTTCTCTAAGCACTATTGAGACCAGATGGTGCTCATGGAAG